ATTTTCCCAAGAGCGGACTAGAGACTTGTGCTAGGGACTACTTCTTTTTTGGAAGAAGTACCGTGGGATGCAGAGTGTGTGGGAGGGTCCATTGACCGCCTCCCTTTGAAGCGTTTACGGCGACGAGCGCGTCTCGGCGCGAGGCGGTTATGGAGAGCGCGTGTTTGTGCGGACTGTGCTCGGGCATCGCACAGTGGACTGAAAAAAATTCACACGCGTTCGTGGACACAAATATAAAAAAAAATATGAATTTCAGTTCTACAAACTTCAGAGTTAGAACTTTTAAAAAAAATTATTAAAATTTTTGGAGTCAACGGTTTCAGTAGAAAACATCTCCCCGAAATGAAAGTACACCAATGCTTTATTGTTTATAGTTTAGATAAATGACATATTCAGTATTTCACTTGTACGTTTTATAAAATGTTTACAAAGGAATGTTTTATTTTATATTTGAGTGAAGCAAGCCGCATATAACATTAGTTTGGTGAATTCTTAACATATTTAAACTAAATGCATGGTTACGGATAATTGCAGAAATCACAGTAAGTTATTTGATAAATTAATATACGTAATGTAATCAATAATAGTAATCTTGATCTCAATATACGATGAATGCGTCTTAGAAACTACCGACCGTTTATAAATAAATATACTGTTTATAAAAATAACAATCTGAGGGGCAGAACACGCAATAAATCCTTAATAATCTTACTTCAGTGTGCAACGGGTTGCGTCATGCGCCGTTACGTCGACCCCTTCAGAACGCTTGAGTCAGTATAAAATCATCATCAACGCGCGTCTACGTGCGCGGACATATGCATATTCCCATCCTACTATGTCTATACTCTCCCAGAAAGTGCACGCAATCCGTTGACAAAGCTTTATTACAACCGGATGAACGGTACGGCAGCGCAGTAAATATGAACCAACCAACCAACCATTGTCTTTTATATCTAAGATATTATATGGAATGCTGTTAAAATTTTACCAAAGTAAATTTATCAATATTGTCAAGAAGTAGGTTTAAAATATATTATAATTAGAATTCAAAATGCATTCCCATACAAATATTTTACCCCTAATTAATATCAGAAAAGCTGCCTGTTGGGCAAGTCTTTTGCCCACATTTCATACCACTGTACACCGCTACCGGGGGCTGCAGACGCCATCTCGACGCTCTTTAGAGTGGCGCGCTGCGAGCCCGCTCCCGGCAGACGACGGCTCCTCGCAGTCAGCGTGGTGCTTCTCGTGCCACTGCTGTCAGCGTTCGGTGGGTCCACCGTTTGCAAAGGGAAACGTTTCTGCCTGATTTCAGGTTTGTGCCACGTAAGATGGCATAATGTGGGTCGAGAATATTAAATTGAATTGAACTGATGCCTTATCTTACGTGGCTTCGCAACTCGAGAAAGGACGTGGCTCGCAACGCGAGAAAGGACGAAACAGGCGATTTGAATTTTGCTCAGAGGTGTCAATTAGGCTTGAGGGTCTTTTACATGCAAGTAAATCTACTAACATGGGACAGACGGCTTTACTTCCCCTTCGAAGGAAGGTGTACGAAGGATTTCTTCGTCCTTAAAAATCCACGGCTTCAATCGGGTTTAAATCCGTGAACTTGGGTATAACATTCCGACACGCTAACCGTTACACTATCGCCGCCGCCAATACATAACCTACGCCGAGAATACATAACCACGAGTAAGAAAGTCTGTCGGCTTCGGGAATTCTCTTGCCATCTCCGGATGTTGAGATGTAAGTTGGCGTAAGTCTAGCACATACATTGGGCAAGCATTCTAACGTTGTGAATTAAGTTGAGTGCGGTATGAATAAAAACGTATTAAGTGACAAACGCAATGACAATATACTTCACAAATTTGTGTTATCATTTCAGGTTTTTCGTCAGAAGTGTAGTATGGTCTTGCAGTTTTCTTCTTTGTTTCAAAGAAATGTTGGCGAGCAAAAATATTTATTTTTACTTCTATTCTGGTCGTGAAATCTACACATATTTTTTTACAATTGCCAGTGATAAATTATTTCACTGTAATGCTGTAAATATTTCCACTAAATACTAAATAAACTATTTCTTTAGTATTACAAACGTTTTCATGGATTTTTATTCCGTTCATCACCGTATTTTTTATTACATTTAATACATTTTTTTACATTATTTTCATACATTTTTCATAACTTATCTCCTGAAATGTTCTGTGAATATCGATTATACATAATAGCAATGTTGATGATGATTTTTGCTGAATATCTCTGTTCTTTTCCATTCCTTTTAGACATAAATTTTTCTCGTAAATTATTTCATCACAAATATACTATTCTTTAACACGTTTTTAAATTAACCCTTTGACTGACATAAGGTTAACTCTTTGGCTGCCATGTAGCTCAAAAACTAAACAGAATTTGTTTAAAAATAGGTTTTGATATAAATAACAGAATTTTCTTGCTGAAAAATAAATTTTGTGACACAGTAGAACATATTCAATTTAATAAATATTAATATTTACTTTGCCAATAGAAGCAAGAGCGAGAAAATTCATACCTTCCAATACGATAACCTAATAAACGGGCCGTGAAACGTG